AGGGAACAAGGGAAAAAGAGCCAATGTTGTCTGACTTCCTAGGGCTCGTTTTAACTATTCCATAAAGTTCTTTTCAACCATTGCGTAAAACAGTTTTTACACAATTCATTTACCGTAACCTGAGTCTCACCACTCTTATGTTTGGGAAGTTGCAACAAGTAAGGCACAGTTCAAAGAACATTGCCTCTTCCTGGCAGGGGAGCTCAGTTGACTGGAGAGTCATCCAGTACACCACAGTACACCACGGTTGCTGGTTCCATCCCCAGTCAGGGCACGTACAAGAAGCAACCAATGAATGCATCAGTAAGTGGAACAGCAAATCAGTCTCTCTCTCTCTCTCTCTCTCTCTCTCTCTCTCTCTCTCTCTCTCTCTCTCTCTCTCCCTCCCTCTCCTCCTTCCTTTCTTTCTCTAAAGGCAAAATTAAAAAAAAAAAACACTGCCTCATGATCCAGGCAGATCTGGATTATATTCTTGCTCAGGCATTTATTAGCTGTGTGTACTTGGAAGATTTGCAGGAACTTTAAGAATCCCACTGTTCTCATTTCTAACCTGGAAAAACAGTCATTTTTCATGTTAGAGTTATTTTTCAGATTATGGTAGATAAGGAGGTTCACTTTGCACTTATCAGACCTTTGTTTAGTAAGAGCTAGCATTTCAAAGTTTCCCCTCCAACTGGCCCATTCATAATTGCTTTGATCCACTGCTACACAGAAGAAATCAAAGAAATCTGGCCTCAAGATTCATAGCTTAGGTCTTTGGTTAGGGTAACATCAACCTCAGAATACTAACATTGCACTAAGGATGTCTCTTTCATGAGAAGGATCCTTTTTTGTTGAAGTTGGGCCTGAAATTTCTAGCAGGTGTTCCTTAGGTCACCGTCATTGACTGCAGTAGTTTCTCAGACACAGCTGATGTGTAGGTCTTCTCTATAAAAAAATGCTCAACCACATTCAAGTTACATCCTTTTTATACATTTTCAAAATACTTTATTTATGTATTTTTAGAGAGAGGGGAAGGGGAGGAGAAAGAGAGGGAGAAAAACTTTGATGTGAGAGAGGACATCCTTTGTTTGGGCATCCAACACCCACGCACGTGCCCTACCTGGGAATCAGAATGGTCACCAGCAACCTTTCTTCTATGCAGGACGATGCCCAACCAACCGAATCATGGCAGGTCAGGGCTCAAGTTACATCCTGGAAGTCTGCAAGTACTTAGGCAATATAAGGCCATCTGTAAACCTCTTCATGCAGCCGGCTTATATTTTACAGACTGAAAGTTTTAGCATCAAACTTAGATGCAGACTCTGAAAAATCAGGTTACAGTGCATATGTTATACTACAACAGTTCAACCACTATTCTGAATGAATTTCTATGTTTGTAAAGTGACGCCTTTTTCTCTTACTGGATATGTGGCTACAATATTAAAGAGTTGCACCCCAGCTAGTGTGGCTCAGTGGGCTGAGTGCTGGCCTGCGAACCAAAGGGTCACTGGTTTAATCCCCAGTCAGGGCACAAGCCTGGGTTGTGGGCCAGGTCTCCAGGTGGGGGTGAGGGAGAGGCAACCACACATTGATGTTTCTCTCCCTCTCTTTCTGCCTCCATTCCCCTCTGTCTAAAAATAAATACATAAATAAATAAATAAATAAAATCTTTTTTAGAGAAAGAATTGCTGTGGCTGTGATCAGGTTTGAGAAGAAGGTAGGTAATAAAGACTGGCAAATGTAGGGGTTTTGGTCAAGAGCTGGGTGAAGGTACACCAGAGAAAATAAACTGGGTAAAGAGAAAATAGGAGATAATGAGTCAAAATAAAAGTACAAATATTTTTACACGTTTCTTTGTTACAACTTCCAACATCATCAAAATGGTACCTACCTTTAAAGAACTTTATTTTTACGGGGTCATTACAAAGACCATAAAATAAAAAAGCTATGAAGAGCTAGAATACATGCTTTCTATAATTCCTGTTCTACGTTCTATGGCTCTAATGGGGTTTCTGTTTTCTGCCCTCTGACTTCATCTGTCCTTGGGTGTGGCTGGCACCGACGGCGCTCATTGGGTCTCTGTTCTCTATTTTTCCGACCAGGGTGATTGACGTAAGCTATTTATTCTCTGGTCCTGGAGGAGAGGTGTACAGCATTGGCTCTCAAGTGCCCTGGTTTCAGGGAGGTAAGGTATTGAGCTGCACCCGCTGGCTGGGAGTTGTTCAGCCTGACTGGCCTGGTTAAACTTTCTTATCTCTGTTTCCCCATTCCACCTGCCCTGGATTTTCCTGGCTTCTTCCTCTCCTGCCTCATGACCAGCGATAGTTTAGGTGGCTCGGTTATGTTGAACAAGCAATTCTTCAAACATTGTTTACTTTTTCCTTTAATTGTTAAATTTTTATGGGTTTCATTAACAAGATGGTCAAGAAAATTGCACATTTGGGGGATAAGCACATTTGTGATCACATGACCCAGCGAGACCAGAGGTGGTGGTGCCCATGGGCAGAGGAGGTGATTAGGAATCTTTTCTCCATGTTCATTTGAAAGTCTGCCAAGTAGTTTCAAAACCCATTTTTAAAATGCCATCTAGCAGATGCAAATTATAAACTGACATTGAATTCTAAGCATTTAGCATTGACATAAAACAAAAATTATCTAAGGTATTCAGGAACAAGAAACCGGCGTGTGTTTTGTGTAAGAGAATCCCGACTTTATCAACACGTTCAAGACGACAGCACCCAGACACACTACGTAACAGTATGGGTAGGCGTGCATTTTTATGTCTTCTGTTTGGAGCAATGTATTCTCTCTACTTCTAGCAACAAACTGCATGGAAATGACAAAGATCTCTTAAGGATGAGGTGCAATGTTTGGTAATTAAAACTTTGTACAGCTTATTATTTAGATAATAAAGACACACACAAAAAATGAAGTTCCATTGCAGCAAAAATCGGCCCTTTCAGAATTTGAGAATACTTAAGTATTTTTTGTTTTAACCATTACCATGTAATATGTGTTTATATTTGTTGTAAAATATAGAGCATGAAAATGAACAAAGATCACTCACAACTTTATAATCCCACTAGGATGGCACAACCACCGACAAGATTACGTATATACGACAAGATCATACAAACACACACTTGCACTGCTATAATTAAGTGTATACACATTTGAACGGCTCTTGATACACATTGGTCCTATGTTCTCAAAAAACAGCTGTGTTTATTTGGAAACCCACCAGCAATATATGTGTGTCTTCCTTCACACCTTCCCCAGACCTCAGGAATTCTTTTCACTGTTTGAAAATTTGATAGCAAGAAAAAATTATATTTTACTTGTGGCTTCTTCAATCAGCAGTACTTGAACCCACAATGGAATATCGTAGAGGTTTAGTCTTAGTGTCCTATCTGAGAAGAAAAACATGGAAGGTACGAGGGATAAAGAGACCCAGTTCATGTACTCTTTCCCTCATGTATAGCCACTCAGCTGCCTTTCACCTGAGTTTTCCCCACAACAACATAGGACTCACAATCCCTGTTCTGCCTGCATGTTGAGCCGGCGTGAGAACCAAATGAGTCCAAAGCAATCAGTGTGCAGCACGTCAGCTCTCCACCACGCAGATATTGCCATAATGCCTATTCTCATCAATTCTCAATTTCCTCTTGGCATGGGAAGAGACTGAGCCGTACTTCAGATGGAGGGGAAAAAAAAGCATGCTGTGTCCAAGACCCTAAAAGATGGTAAGGTTACTTAACTTTTTCAAAGCCACCAAGCAAGTCCCAGACAAACCTGAAATTGGCCTTTAATATTTTTTAAATGATTTTATTATTATTATTTTTTAAGATTTTATTTATTTATTTTTAGAGAGGGACGGGAGGGAGATAGAGAGAGAGGGAAACATCAATGTGCGGTTGCTGGGGGTTATGGCCTGCAACCCAGGCATGTACCCTGGCTGGGAATCGAACCTGCGACACTTTGGTTCCCAGCCCGCACTCAATCCACTGAGCTACGCCAGCCAGGGCTTGGCCTTTAATATTTTTAACTCCATTTCTGTTCCTGAGCTTAGCAGAGCATGTTCCACACCCACCTCTACTCTCAAAACAAGCAATAACAACACGGTTAGAGGCAGACTATAAAACACAAAAAACCAGTTCCATAACAACTGACGTCAATTTTATTCGTTGAACAGCCATTAAAGGAACGGTCAAGGGTTGGGGAAAGACCACAGGCGTGCGCACACACGCGAGCAAGCGGTTGTCCTGGCAGTGAGTGCTGCAGCCGTAGAAAAGACACCGTTTCCAGAAAGCTAATAATCTTCACTGACAATCGTTTAAATGGAAAAGACAACAGCTAAAAGCAGAAGTGAAACATCATTTTGCTTTAGAAAATACAACTGCAGCTGCAGACCAATGCCAGTAAAGGGGAGAGAGGTCGGGAACGTGCGGACATCCACGCCCACATGCATCTCACAGAGTTGGTATGGATCCCTAATGTGCACAGTAGAATATCTGATGTATACATTTATCAGGGAAGAGCTTTTGGTAGGACGCCCATATTCATTAGCAGCTAATTAGTTCCCAATAATTATATTAATTATGAAATGACAGCTAAATCAGCTTTGTGCTTTGCGAGATATTCTCCTATCAGCCTCCTCAGTAGGCTTTTGTGAATGAAGGAAGCACTAATTAAAAACATACCCAAAACAACATTAGTTAGTGTAGAATGTTTTCCACCTCATACCAGAGAATCAGCTCTCTTAGAAGTGCCTTTATTGCATGCTTAATATGCACTAAGGCTTTCAGTAAAATATTCATTAAAATTGACCTCTCTTGCAATCACCCATCCCCCAACCTTGCTGCACCCTCCGTGCCTCCTTCCACACACCCTGATGTGGCAGGTGTTCACCATGTGCCCAGAAAGATGGGGAAACGACACCTCCCAGAAAGAAGTCAAAAGACAGCCCATTCAACAGCCAGGTGTTTTATTAAGGTGGTGGGTTATCATTTACCACTCACTCACATGGCATACTTCTTGGTCCAAGCTCGGGCCATGGCATTATATGTGTCCCTGTCCCTTAAGTACATTCTGGCAATGGATGGAACTAAGGCATCATCGGGGTTGGGATCGCAGAGCATGGAGCAGATGGACAACAAGAGTTTGGATATCGTCAGTGCAGGAGACCACTGGGACTTGAGGATATCTAGACAGATGTTTCCTCTTCTGTCGATATTGGGGTGGTATATCCGGGTGGTGAAGTAAATCCACGGAGGCTGAAAGGGATAATCATATGGGAACTGTATGTTGAGTGAGAAGACCCCTCCCTCGTAGGGGCTGTTGGGGGGACCCATGATGGCCCCCCTCCATGTGAACATGTCATCGTCCACCGGCCCTGCAGAGCACATGGGAGCGGGGTCCGTAGTGATGTCCGTCAGTTCCTTCTGCAGGCGCTTTAGAGCTGTGGACGTGTCCACGGGAACGGGCCCTTTTGGAGCATCCTGATAGGGACAAGGGGGAACCACGGGTCAGTGGGGGGCCCATGGGTTAGGGTGGGCGTGGCTTACGGGGGCCGGGGTTAGAGGGGCAGCCACCCCCAGGTCGGTGGGTGGGTAAGAAGGCTGGAGCCAGGCTGTGGGGTGTGAGGGGCTGTCGGGGGACGGGGCCGGTGGGGAGGAGGGGGGAGGAAGGCAGAGTTGGGGACTCGGCTGGACCTGAGGGGCTCCTGCTCACCTGTGTCCTGCTGGTCCCTGGCTCCTCCATCTCTTCCTCCTCCACCGCTGGGTCTGCCGCTCAGACCCTGAGCCTCGAGGCTGCACTGCTGGGACTCACCTCCGCCCAGCAATAGGACCAACCGCTCCTGCCAGGCCGCCTGCCTCTGCCCTTGGCCCTGCGTGCCTGGGGCAGGAGGGGATACGCTCTGTGATGTCACAAGAGCCCGCTGGTGACATCAGCAAGTCGATGGGGGTGGGGACAGGGGAGATGGGAGACCAGAAAGAGATGGGGTGGAGGGAGGGGAGTCCATGGAGGAGAATGGGAGGAGGGGGGAGGGTCAATGGAGGGGGTTGGGGTGTGGATTATGGGAGGATACGTGGAATGAAATCAGGGAGGCAAATAGGGATGGAGGGCAGGACGGTCCATGGAGGGTCGGAAGGACCATGGAGGGGAATGGGGGGATGGAGGGCGGGAGGGTCCATGGAGAGGAATGCAGGGAAATGGAGAGGGTGGAGGGTGGGTGGGACCACCAAGGGGAATGGGGGGGGGATCAAGGAGGGGCAGGATGGGGAGGTAGGCCGAGAGGCCAGGGGAGGGTGAAGGGGGCGGGGGTGGAAGGAGCCCAGGCTCCCTGGCTGGCCCCCCGCGGGCGCCCTGCCCTGGTTAGTTGGGTCTCAGGCCCTCCCCCTGCTGAGAGTCTCCCCAGTGTAGAGGAGCCGTTGGCTCCCTGAATTCCTGCACCCCTCACCCACCCAGACTCACCTCCCGGAACAATTTCCCCCCTGGCTTCGTGCTGACCTCTCGCCTGCCCTTCTCGCTCCTGAGCTGGCCCTCCCTCTCTTTGTACGGACTCAGAGGCCCTGGGGAGTGAGCTGTATCCCTACGGGCCCTTTAGGACAGGGTCTTCCCTCACAAAGAAGTTGTACACTAATACCCATACCCTAAGAGGGGTCCTAGTCATAAGCAATCATTGTGCATCTGTGTCAGTGATAAAAAAAAATATGTTCCCATACAATTGTGGGAATCTTCCTATCCTGACTGTTGCTTAAGATGCAACTGTGGAATTTCAGTCCATTCACCAAAAGTGTTTTTGCTTAACAAGTATCAAAAATCACCAATGCTTTTTTCCAAGCCTTGCAGTGTATACAACTGTCTTTCATTGCTGTATCATACTGTAACCTTGAAAAACACTGAAATGGCAGGTAAACTCAAAATGTGTAACACCAGCAATACACAAAAGTCAGTGAAATTGACACACACAGCAGTACGAACAGCTTTGTGCAAATTGACAGCTGCATAGTCACTGAGGACTGCTCTGGCTGACAAAAAACCATTACAGTATGCAACGGATTGTAAACCACATTCTAATGTCAGAGCGAACAGCACATGCAGAAAAGTGTGCATCTTCACATACGACGATTACTAAGATATTTGCATTTATTTCTGTCAAAGGAAAGAAGGCATGTGCATAGAATACAGGCACTCATTTAGAATTTACACAGAAGGTGGGGTCTTCATTTGTCTTTAACTATTGCCCAACTTTCATCAAATAGTTATAGGCAGGGCCTGGCCAGGTAGCTCAGTTAAAGCATCTAAGGTTGTGAGTTTGATCCCCAGGCACGGCACATACAAGAATCAACCAATGAAGGCATAAATAAGTGTAACAACAAATCAGTGTTTCTTTCTCTCTCCCTTGCTCTTTTTTCCCCTTCCTCTCTCTCTCTTTCTCTCTCAAATCAACATGTTAAAATAAAGGAATGTTAACTACTAACATAAAAACATATAAAAATATATACTGCACTAGTGAATGTAAATATATAGTAAATCCAGAATAATCTAATGTAGTACTATGGTGGAATGTTAACTACTTAGCTCTCATTTAAAGGTTAAATGACAGTATTAGAAAACACTATAAGTATAATTTGTTAAAGAATACGCAATACAAGAGGAAAATTATAGCATTAAACATATAAAAGAGAATATAGTTCTTGGTATGTGATTGAAGTTAAGTTGTCATTGGATAAAATAGACTATTATGTGTATAATATGTTTTATATATGCCTCAAGATAACCACAAAGCAAAAGCATATAACAAGTGCATGAAAGGTACAGACAAAGAAATCAAAGCATACCACTACTGATTATTATCAATTTACAAAGGAAAGCTGCAAAAAAGAAAGAAAAAAAAACAAAAGAACTATAAAAGTAGACAGAAAACAAGAAAATGGTATTAGTAAGTCTTTATCTCTCAGTAAATACTCTAAATGTGATGAATTATCCAATCAAAAAAAGTTAGAGCTGCTTGATGGGAAAAAATAAAACAAAAAACAGTACCCAACTATTATAGCCTACAAAAAACTCACCTCAGCTCACTTCAGCATTAGCAAAAGAAGCAGAGCCTCTAAGTGAAGGGAGAGAAAAAATATTCCATGCAAGTGGAACCAAAAGAGAGCAGGGGTAGTTCTATTTACATAAGACAAAAGAAACCTTGGGCCAAAAATGCTAACAAGAGACAAAGTATCATATAATGATGAAGGGGTCAATTAGTCAAGAGGATGTAACAATCATAAATAATATATTCATGCAACATGGAATTTGCTAAATTTACTAAACAAACACTAACAGATCTGAAGGGAGTCATAGATAACCAACCATGTGTCATTAGTAGGGTAATTCAATACCCTACTTTCAACAGTGGATAGATTACCCAGACAGAAAACTAATGAGGAAACTTTGGATTTGAACTATAATTTATATCAAATAGACCTAACAGACATATATGGAACAGAATATACAGAACACTCTATTCAATAGTAGCAGAATACATATTTTTCTAGAGTTAACAGGCAGCATATTCAGGAAAGATCACATATTAAGTCACAATGGGAGGGCTAGAAAATTTAAAAAGACTGAAATTATATCAAGTATCATTCTGAAAACAATGGTATGAAACCATAAATCAATCACAGGTAGAAAAGTGGAAATATCACAAATATGTAAAAATTAACACATTTCTGAAAAAACAAAATGGGTCAAAAATAAAATAAAAAAGGAAATTTAATTAAAAAGTCTTAAAACAAACAAAAATGGAACTATAACATTCCAAACCCATGGGATGCTACAAAAAAAGTTCTAAAAGGAAAGCTTATTGTGGTAAACTCCTACATCAAGAATAAAAAAAGATCAAATAAAGAGGTTAACTTTACACCCCAGGGATCTATAAGAAGAACAAACTATGCTCAGTTCACAGAAGGAAGAAAATAAATGAAGTACAGACAAGAAAAAATACAAAAAAATCAACCTAATGAAGCTGGTTTTTGAAAAGCTAAACCATATTTATAAATCTTTAACTAGAATAACTAAGAAGAAAAAGAGGACACAAATTCAAAAAAATCAGAAACAAAAGAAAAGAGACATTACAACTGCTACTATACTAGAAATATAAAGGATTTCAAGAGATTGCTGTGAACAGTTATATAAAAATAATTGAACAACCTAGAAGAAATGGATAAATTCCTAGAAACATACAACCTACCGCCATTGTACCAGGATGAAAGAGAAAATCTGAACAGGTCAATAGTGATTAAGGAGATTGACTCCTTAATTAAAAACAACAATAAACACAGAAAAACCCAGGACCAAATGACGTCACTGGAAAATTTTACCAAATCTTTAAAGAAAAATCAATGCCAATTCTTTATAAGGTCATTTAAATAATTTTTAAAAGCAAAAGGCTTCAAACTTTTACAAAAGCAATACTACCCTGATACCAATTTCAAGTTCACATAAGGACATTATAGAAGAAAGCTATAGATGAACAACCCCAATGATGATAGATGCAAAAACTCCCAACAAAAAATATTAGCAAATCGAATTAAACAACACATTGAAAGGATTATACAACATGACAAAACAAGATTTATACCTAGGATACAACCATGGTTCGACATCTGAGAATCAATAAATTATACACAGCACATTAATAAAATAAAATGTAAAAATCTTACTAATTTTTCAATGTATGCAGAAAAGTTGACAAAATATATCTTTTCATGATAAAAACCCTCAACAAATGGTATAGAAGAACACACCTCAACATAAGACAAACCCACAATTAACAATATAATCAATGATGAAAAGTTAAAAACTTTTACTCTAGGATCAGAAATAAGACAACTCTTACTGCTCCCAACTTGGGGTCCTGCCACCCACTGACACCTTCTAGGCAAAATTTCACAGTTCAAGGTTTGGTGATAAAGGAAAGGAGTCTATTTAAAAGCTTTGCAATTTTGAGGCATGTGGAGATAAAAAAAAAATGGACCAAATGAAAGAGTAGATCAGAGCTCCAGAAAAAATACAACTAAGCAACAAAGAGATGGCCAACCTATCAGATGCACAGTGCAAAACACTGGTAATCAGGATGCTCGCAGAATTGGTTGAATAAGGTCACAAACTGGAAGAAAAAGTGAAGGCTATGAAGTGAAAGAAGGGAAAATGTACAGGGAACCAACAGTGACAGGAAGGAAACTGGGACTCAAATCAATGGTATGGACCAGAAGGAAGAAAGAAATATTTGACCAGAACACAATGAAGAAACAAGAATTCAGAAAAAAGTTAGGAGAGGCTTAGGAACCTCCAGGACATCTTTAAGCATTCCAACATCTGAATTACAGGGGTACCAGAAGAGAAGAGGAAGACCAAGAAATTGAAAACTTATTTGAAAACATAACGAAGGAGAGGTTCCCCA